AGATGTTTTGGAGGGCTCTTAGAAGAGTGAAACCTGTTACCTGTTTGTTGCTTTTAACATCATAGCTCAGGACAGTCACTACTGAAAAGTTTGGGGCTGTGTGCATTCTTGGCATGCCATCAACCAATCAGTTTTGTCACAGTCCTGTGGCTCTCGAGTTATTAGTCACATTACAGCAGGGGTATCCAATCCTGTTTTTGGAGGGCCAGTGTCCAACCCCAGTTACACACACCTGAACCAGCTGATCAAGGTCTGCAGGATTAATAGAATCTTCTAGGCAGGTATAGTATTTAGTGACAAATTAGTGCTAAACTTTGCAGGACACTGGCCTTCTAGGAGCAGGTTTGGACAACCCTGCATTTCAGATATGGCTCAGGTGATTGATTATTAAATTCTCCAGAACCAAACAACTACCATAGAAATGAATGCTTGTGTTTGGTTCTTTTCCAGATATCCTTGGGTCTTTGAGTGTTACAGACATCGTAAAAGTCATCGGAATCAGCTCAAACTACAAAAGTACTTTTCCTTCAACTGTTTTTCCCTCAAGTGATTCGTTATCAGAGTAGAACATGAGGAAACTCAACCCCCTCCACAAAACCATCAGCATTAAAAACGCTATAATTAGCAACACTATCCCAGTGTTTGTTTGATATCAGATGCTTGAACACGAGGAAAGGTCTACCAAGCTAATTAAGCTCAGGAAAGTTAAAGAGATTCCTGGTGCTGACTTGTGTCTCTGTGTCCTGGCTTATAACGCATGACTTGTCGCAGCTTTAAGACAATGATAATCTGACACTTTAGAGGATATAGGAGCATAATCAGCAGAGCTTGCGGCAGTCGCAGTGAGAGCTCACAGCTGCAGACTGTTTTCATACAGATGGCACCGCTGATGATCATCAGTACTACTGCGCATCTGGAGGGTCTACAGGGGTCAGCGAACCCAAGTTTAGCATGCAAAACACTCAGCACTGATTCTATACATCCATCTAAGCTTCTAAAACACATCAGGCACTAATACACTGAACACAATTTGGTGTAGTAAATTTCATAAATAATTACAAAGGACCAGGAAGTAACAGTTTATAAATATGAACTACTTATAAATGCAGAGAGAAACAGGCTCAAAACAATGGTGGGCCAAATGTCATCACAGGCCAACTTTGGCCCACAGGCCCTGGTTTGGGCAACTGGTCTATAGAGTTGCAGCTTACACAGAAAACATAAAATGGCAGTTTATCTAAGCTGAGGATTGTTTACATAGTTTGGCGGGCGCAGACATGTACCCCACTGAGCCATATGGCTGCTGGGTAGCTGGTTGTGACACTGTGCTGCGGATCAGGTCTGTAACTATTTATAGCCTACACTTGTACGTCCCTCCTGCAAGGACTCAGACAGAGACATCATCAGCAAGCGGGAAGCACCAAGTTGACTTCCCCCCCCCTGCTCCTCTATACATTCATGTCATCCTGTTTGGGTGAACAGACTCTTGTCCACAGGAGCCCAGCTGGGCCACACAAACTAACAACAGCTGGACTGGCAGCAAAGACATTAGAGGGGGCACAGATCCCAACACAAGAAACGGATCCCGGTCATATACAAACACCGAAGCTCTTATATTTAGGAACTCAAAAGTTAATTGAATCACAATCTCCTACTTTTTTACCCCTGAGGAAGACATTTAACCCTTAAGCTTCTCCAGGGAAACTTTCCCTGGAATCAGTTTACTTATCTTAATGGTTTAAAAGGTCTGTTGAATGGGACATAGCTAACTAATAAAGGATTTAATATTGGGCTCATGCATAAGGATGCATTAAATTGATCAAAAGAGACAGTAAATATTACTGATAATGATACAAATAACATTTTTTGAGCACCAAATCAGCATATTAGAATGATTTTTGAAGGATCATGTGTCACTGAAGACTGGAGGAATGACTGCTGAATATTCAGCTTTACCATCACACAAAAAAACATTTTTAAATATATAAACTTCTTAAATTAAAATAATATTTCACAATATCACAGTTTTTACAGTATTTTTGATCAAATACATGCAGCCTTGGTGAACATATAAGAGACCATTTCAAAAACCCCAAAGTTTTAAATTGTAGTGTACACACTATTTCCTGCACTTTTTGTTGAGGATAAAATGTAGTAATGATTTATCAATTAAATAATTCAAAAATAAAAACAAATAGGCTACAGTTTTACATGGGCAAGTAAATAGATGCTTAAAACTGCTTGTTTAAATAAAACAATAAAATTAATTTTCAAATAAATAATGTAACATTATTTATAATATTTAATTAATGATTCAAAATACTAAAGCAATTGATTATGATAAATTATTAATAGTTATTATTAATATTTTTTTTAATTGCAAAAAGCATTTGCCATCTGCTTTTTTTTAATCGTTTTGCCAAATGCTTTTGTCATTGGAAAAAAAATGCCATTGGACAGGTCACTCTGGGAGCAACTAATGAACTTTTGACTCAATTCTTCTAAGACACACCCCTTTCCCTACATCTCACTCAGAGTAAATGTAAGATTAACTGTTATTGTACAGTATGACAGAACGTGTCTTCTAAAAAAACTTCAGAATGTGCTGGTTAGTGTGTTTTCCTAACCCTAACATCTAAACCTTACTCTGTCATCTCTTATCTAAAATTCAAAATTAAACCGAGAAGATTCTACAAAAAATTGGGCATGATGCCTAAAAAAAAGACTCATCAGGCAATCTTCGGTTCTGCCAACAGATTACAAATCACAGCCTGGTTTCTTGCTTTGAAACTATGACATTATCCTTTTGTAATATCTTTGAGATTCCTTGTGGAATTCCACAGATAAACAGATGCATGAAGAGCCATTCAGGGAGCGACAAAGCCACAGCCCTGATACCTTTCGGTCTAATAAAAGATGTTTGGGTATCTTACTTAAATATCTAAACAAATTCATGAAGCAATTATCAGTCTCCCTAGAGTGTGGCAGCCAGTGATGTTTAGCATGACTGTGCGTGCTGACAAAAGCGCATAAAGACCACCTAGAGTGCCAGCCATGAGTTGAAAGGCAGTTGAAAAAGACATCTTTGATATCGATCTCAAGCACGGCCTTGTTTTTCACACCGAGGCCCTTGGAAAGACACAGATGCTGAAAGACGAAGCGGTTTCCTCTCCCTTTCACCTGATGCACCACCGTCCGCTTCGCTTCACTTGCGTCAACACATCTTGACGAGAGGCCGTTAGGTGCATCTGCAGGGACTAATTTGATTGGTCGCGCTTCACTTAATGCTTCCAGATCAGATAACATCAGACACACCGCTAGGGAGATGAATCCCTTTGAGACTCAGCAGATGAGAGGGACCTATGATTCTTCCCATATGCAGAGAAAGAACAATAACTAGGACAAGTGAACCCATCCTCTCACAGAAAACCAGAAACAGTGTCTTTCCTAAATCTTAAACTGCCACAGTCGGCTCGACGTCATCAACTGGCAGCTTCCTCACAAAGCTACTGTACTCCAGAAGCTTAACAGGCCAATATGATTGTGAGGGATTGTTATAAAACTGGATTGATAACTGTAAGGCTGCTAACCCTTCATTGGCATGTTTGTAAAACCTCTCCAGTTGCTTTTATCCTGTTAAATTTATCCCATGATCAAGAGGTTTTGGACTGGGACAAATGCGCTGGTGTGGAATGTGAGAAATGCATTTGGGAATGCATGAAAAACTGAATAACAGGGTTTATTAAAGTTCTAAAACACTAAAATATGTAGTAAGTTTGGAATATGAATGGGCTCCCGATTGTCTGTTCTTAAATCCAGGCATGCTATGTCTTGATCTGATGCTAATCAGAGCAAGAAAACACACATCAAGTATGCCAAATTACAATCTGGAGACTTGAAACATTTTCTGTGTTTATTTTTTTACTTGTTAAGATACATTATCAGTGCATTGAAATTACTGTGGAAGGTCAGTGATGCTCCAGGAGGGTTGTTACTATAGGACACATGCTCTGGGCTGAGCAGGATTGTATGCTGATGAGCACAACCCGGTTTTACCAAAAGACACAAAAAAACAAGTGTTCTGAAAGTTACAGGGGATTTACTAGATTGCCCTGAAGACCCTGTAAATCCTACCTCTCACATGAGCCGCTGCTGATTTTATGAGGCAGAGCTTATAAAAGGAAATGACACATGACCAGGAAATATAATCAATTTAAGTTAGAGCTTGTTTGAATGACTAAAAAGGCAGTAAAAGTGACAGACTCTTGTTTCTCGGTTTGAAAGTGTTCACACTTCAGTCATCTCCAACCAACGGAGAACAGAAAATTACAACAAACAAGAAACTGAGTCAATTAAAAAGTTATTCTTAATCAGAGGTGTGCGTAAGAAGGTTTAAAGAGGCATTTGATTTCAATTGGGATTTGTTTTTTAAAAAATGTAAACAAATACAACAATGAAAACAGTTTTAGATACATTTTTTGCAAAGAAAGCAATATATAGCTACAGTATATATACAATTTGTGACGATCATAACAGAATATGCTACTTAAATGTTTTACCCACAGTATAATTTTTGTGTGTTTAATAAAATAAATGATGGAACTGGTACTTGAGCCTTATTGTTTGGGCTGTAGCGGTACATGAAGCAAAAAAGGTTTGAGTTAAAACACCCACTTGGAGGAACAACATTCAAGTCCTTTTAAAGCATCATTAATAAAACTCCCCAAAGAAGTCCCTCTACAAAACGGTCCCTTGTGCATCATGTTTTGTTATAAAATGTCACTAAATGTCTTTTTCACATATTCTCCCTCTTCCTCTTTCTTGACGCCAGTACAGTGACTAAAACACGGCTTGACAGCTTCACCAGTGCCCGTTATCTCCAGTTTATGAGACTGTAAATGAGACTGTAACAATAACCGCGCGACTGCAACATGTAACCAGCCACATGGGTGCTCAAACTGCAACACTCAGGGTGTTTAGATTGAACCCAGTCTACTTACCGACTGCAGAAATGCCAAGTTTCTCACGTAATCCCGTTCAGTGTTCAATATCTCGTTTAAAACGCACAGTCTCAGGCGAAGCTGACGGTCCGAGTCCTTGCTGCTGAGGTCGCCGTTTTCTTGTTTACTGTCCTCCTCGGTGTTTATTTCGCTCATTTTTAAAACCCCTTAGAGAGAGAGAAGCCTCCAAACAAACGAGTACACGCCAGTTGTGTGAAAACTGATGTGAAGATGTGATAATTAATCCATTTAATCCGTCGCGCGCTGCACGCAACCTCGCGCCAGGATGCGGCAGGGGAAAATGTTAGATTGAAACTGAAGAAACTTCTGTAAAAGTATACCGCGCAACATCGAAGTCAACCGCAAAGCAATTTGCATCTCATTAAAACTATTTCCGTTTAAAAGGTCAACTAGAGAAGTAGCCCACCGACTGCCGGCAGCATAAATGATGAAAGTGGCCAGAGGAGCGAAATGATGTGAAAAAAGGGAGTGCACGAGAAACGATTAGCAACCGTGAAATCACTGGCAAAACCGTGCAGTAAAAGCTGAAGTTGCGAGATCACGAGAGCTCAGTGTGGACTACATGAAAAGTGAGACGGCTGTGGGAGCTGTAGAGAGAGAGAAGCGAGTCTGCCGCTGAGGGACCGTCTGCAAGTTGCACCGCTTGAACAATCACGTCTTCAGTTTAATGAACTGATGAACTGATCCCTTGCTATCTTTAGATGTGTGTTGTGAGAAGATAGTTTCTTTTGATCTCTGGCATCGCGACTGATGCATTCAGTATTTTTATTTATTTATTTAATTAATATTTTAAGGGAAAAATACAAATGAATAGCATTTTTGGGATTTATCATTAAAATGATGTTCACTAACATGAGATGAAGACTCTAGTCTAGACATAAATATTTTCTAAAAAAGCTGTCAATTTTTTTTACATGGAGAGGGTCGCCCCTTCATGGGTGCCACCGTGTTAATATCAAATGACCGGCCATGTACCAGCACAAAACACCAATAATAAATGTATTTATTGAAAATTTGTTAGGAATTAATCCAACTTTTACAGTATGACACAAACAAACAGTTTTGGTGTAAAACCACAGGAGTTAGTGGTACATAAACTTGCATGCTTGCAGGCCAGTAGGTGTCAGTATATCTAAATCTAAATCTACTATTGAGACAAATATGAGCCATGATGTTAACAAAGGCTGCCTCCAAATATGCATATTACCCCACTATATAGAAGGTGAAAAAGAGTATCTAAAAGGAGCAGTGTGTCTAAATTTACAGTATTTATAAAAAAGTAGACAGAAAGTATCTGCAATACTGGCGAGATTCTAAACAGTGTATCCTTTACTATCCCATGAGGCAATGGAAGAGAAGTTTTAATGGCTGAGTAGCAACGCTGGAATTGTAGGCCACATGACAATGTCAACAAGACAAATGTAGTAGCCTACATCTGTATTACATAATACATGCATTCATCATACTATATAAAATGTGCCTTTTATTTTGGACACAGCTCAAAACACTTCTGTAAGTAAAAATCAAGTGGAAAAAGAACTTGATATTTTTTTAATTATGTCCACAGAAGTAAACATGAGCACTCATATATGTTCAATTTAATCATTAAAGTCATTAGAAATTTATTTTCATTAATGGTTACAGGCCTAAAAAATAGTTACAGGATTAAAGGCCTGAATTTGACTAGTTGTAGTGAGACGAGTGAAAAAATCTAATTGATCATTGTCTGCATGGAATGATTATGGCATCCTTACAGTTTAAATGGATAGTTCATACAAAACATTAACTGTGTCATCATTTACTCATATGTAAATACGAGTTTTTACATATTATTAAATTATATAAAATTTTACTCAAAACCTGTATGACTTTCTTCCTTCTGTGAAACACCAGTCATCATCAGTGTTTTTTGTCCACACAATGGAAGTCAAAGGTCACCAAAACTGTTTGGTTACCAGAATTTATATATACACATATATATATATATATATATATTCTTTTGTGATTCACAGAACAAAGAAAGTCATACAGGTTTGGAAGAACATAAGGGTGCGTAAATGATGACAGAATTTTCTTCGGGGTTGAACTACACCTTTAATGCTTGTTTGGTCTGTCAGGTCTTTGTTCGTACTGTCTGTGCCCTTGAGGTGATGCTTCCTCAGCATGACAAACAGCCATCAGAGCCTGTCCACATCCTGTTTACCCCATCACAAAAGACTAAGTTCTCTATCTTTCTATCTTTCTCACATAACTTATATGGCCACCAAACCACCAGACTCCACCAAATGAATGGGCAAAAACGTAAAGGGTAAGAATGACTCGTTAGCCTGGTTTGAATCAGTATTACCCCGCAGGAGTCTTTCAGCCCCTGGCATTTCATAGCTGTCTGACATTTGAGAGGTGTCAGTAACCTCTGGTTCTGCTTTACTTGAGTTCTGCCCACACTAACTGTACATAGTAGCCTAATAGAGTTGCCACTGCATGCTTTGACATAACTTTAAAAAGTGTGCTTTACCAGTAACTTAAATGAATATAGGTGACACAAAGATAATATAATCAATAGATTACTTATTTTATCACAACTACAAACCATTTAATCACACTGCATTCGTTCTGTGAGACTGAGCGCCATCTTGTGGCAAAATCGAACACAAACGTTGTAAAAAAAAAAAAACACGATTAAATATTTAAAACAAATAAACAGATGTTTTAGCCGACAGTTACAGCATAATTCTCTTTTAAGCACGTGCTTTCCCGCCTTAATTCAAGCGCACGTGATAGACGCAACTGTTGAACAGTTCAATATGACGTGATAAAGAGAATGCAGAATCGAATCTTAAAAGTTTCAGGGTTATCTTTTTATCTTTACCTTTTTTATCTTTACCTTCTCATATCTTTTGAACACAGCAACTAAGGTAAGACCCATATATTCTTGTTTTTGAATGATAAGTGAAAATACATATTTTTCTTTCCACGGTCCTAAGTGCAACATGCCAGTTTGGAACATACAGTTATAGTCAAAAGTATATAACGTTACTTTACCGTATCTGCAAAATTGTTATTATTTTACCAAAATAAGAGGGATCATACAAAATGCATGTTGCTTTTTTATTTAGTACTGACCTGAATAAGATATTTCACATAAAATACGTTTACATAATCCACAACAGAAAATAATAATTGAATTTATAAAAATGAACCCATTCAAAAGTTTACATACACTTGATTCTTAATCCACGGATCATCCAGGTAACAGCACACTATGCAGAATGCAGATACTGCAAAGTGTTGGTAAACTTTTGACCACTACTGTAAATATTTAGGTGCGCTATAGATATGTGCATTAAAACAATTAGATAAACAAACAAAAATACCCAATAATAATTCAATCAATTGATTAATTAATTTAAATAATAAATGTATTAATTTAATCCATGTGTACTATGGATGTGTATAAAAATTGAATAATTAAAAATAAATAAATAATGTAAAAAAGGAATCATTATCTTATTAATTTAATTCAGATGTGCCAAGGATGTGTGTCACTATATGAATATATAAATCACTATATCAATAAATACATTTTAAAAATAATATATATATACATACATACATACAGTATATTCATATTCTAATATGAATTATATATATATTATTATCATATTATTATTCATATTAATATTAATATATGGGCTTACAGATTCTCATTCTGGATATTTTCTGGCAGCTTTTGCTGATCACTGCTCCTCTTCAATGTCAAAAGTCACAATGGCTCATTCAGCACTTTGGCTGGTGTTGTTGCACTGGATGTTCCTGCACTCCCCAAGCAGTTGTAACAATTTAACCAAAGCCGAACTGCAAGAACTGGAGAAGATCAGCACCTGGGTCATCACCCGCAGCTTTCCCTGCAGTGCCACCTGCGGGCTTGGCCTCCACACTCAAGAGCTCTGCCCTACTGGGGGAAACAGAAACATCTCCAGCACTTCCTGCAAGATGAGGACCATCCGCTGCCTAGACACCTGGCAGTGTGGACTGAAGACCCAAACGGCAACTGCTGGTCAGCGTCTGGTGCTAGACTGCTTAGAGGAAGTGATGGAAGCCATTGGCCGCTTTGCATTTGTGGTGTCTTGGCGCTTTGCCCATGGAATCATCACATCTGATGATTCGTTATTCAGCCGCTATGAAGCCCTGAGCCTGGACAAGGTGGTGCTAGACCCCCTCGGAGAAGAGGATTCTGGGACATACCGCTGTGACGTACTGGACACCGGCAAACGAAGAGTGAAGAGAATGTATAAAGGGGTGAAAGTGTTATCACCCAAAGAAGTGAGTTTAGACTTTGCCAAAGGTCTGATTCACTGGGAAAACCCAGAGAGCCTGTTTCCTAACATGACGACCACAGGAAACCCGTATCCCAGCAGCATTGTCCGAAACATGGCACTGATAAGCGTGTTCATATCTGCTGCAATGGCAGCACTCATCCTTCTGCTCTTGAGGGGTTTTTACCAGATAACACTAAGAAGAACAGCTCAACTTTCCCAGAACAATGTTTGAAAACGTTTCAAAGATTAAAATGTCAAATTAATAGCCCATATTCCTTAATCACTGATGAATAGAAGTGTTAAGAATGAGTTTGACCAAGTCACAAATGCGTGGGATTGAAAAACATGTTCAAACTATCGGTGTACTATTTATAGAGCGGAGCTGTTAATGAACTGTTTAGAAAAAAGGTTCATATTCACATTTGTGTTAAAAAGGTCAAACAGTTCACTTCATCAACAATGGGTCGAATCTAGTCACAGGTTCCTAATTTGGATGCCAGCAAACAATGCTTAAAAATATTCCTTAAAGGGATAGTTCGCCCAAAAATAAAAATTGTCATCACTTGCTCACCCTCAAAAGTTGTTCCAAACGTACACGAGTTTCTTTCTTCTGTTGAGCACAAAAGAAGATATTTTGAAGAATGTTGTTAACCAAACAGTTGACGGTAGCCATTGACTTGATTACCAACAGTATTCAAAATATATTTTTTTGTGTTTAACAGAAGACACTCCTACAGGTTTGGAACAACTTTAGGGTGAGTAAATGATGACCGAATTATCATTTTTGGGTGAACTATCCCTTTAACTTGTACTTAAAGCAGCCTTACTTTAAAACAGTCACATACATTATAACAGCGGTTGATAATTCAATTGACAAAAGATCATTAACCATGACGATTTTCAGATTAAAATACATTTCTAGCACGGTATGTTCTTCAATTAAAAAAAGCAATAAAAAGGTCTAAATAAAAGACAGATAATCATACATTTAACATGCTTTTATAGTGACTTTTCTGAAATACATAAATTTCAAGAACTGTATGTTCTTTAATAAAAACAACAATTGTTGAGGGGACTTTTTTTATTAAAAATTTATAATATATGTTTTAAGGTACAAAATGTTCCTATGTAAGAGGAACAGAAGAGCCTCATAATAATTTTAATGAACTGGTATTTTATTCAGGACGTTTAACAGGTCAAAGTGTGCCCACACCTCAAAAACAAACTCTCTATCAAACAAATAAACCAGTGAAAGGTGCTCTGTGAGCGCAGGAAAAATCCACAAACACTCTACAACTCAATCTTAAGGCAGAGAGAGGACAAACGTCCACCTCCCACAGCAGAATGTGACATCAGTGAAAACTGGAACCGTGTTCAAAACCATTCAGAAGCAGGAGTGCTGTTCCTCCAGCAGCACTGGATTAACAGCAAAAAATCTGAGATCTCCTGCACCGATAGTTTGTGAGCACTAGTGCCAGTGTGAATAAACTCCTTTATACACATTGGTGTAATTATTTCTTTAGCTCTAAGCAAGTAAATATAGACCCCAAAAATCTTAAGACTAGTCTATATCTGGTTAGGTGAAAAAAGTTGCAGAAAGAATTACAAACTTTTACAGGCAAACAGTCATTCAGTGTGTATTTAACAACTTGACACTTGTGTGTGTGTGTGTGTGTGTGTGTATTTTAAATATACATGACATCACAACTAGCAAAAGGTGCATTGTTAATCTTTGAGAAGAAAAAAAAGAGTCCTTTTTCTCATTCAAAGAGAGTATCCTCACATTAGGACAAGGATGCAAGCAAGAAACCCACAGAAAAATAGGTGAGATTTAAAAAAAAAAAAAAAAAAAGACACACTATCATTATGACACACTGGTTTCATGATCAATTTCAGCATGTGCAATACAGCAACAAGAGATACAAAGCAGCCCAGCCTGTGATCTGCTACTTGTAGACAGTGTATAATTTCATCAAGCCATCTTTCATAAGCGATAACCATGAAATCACCCTCACATATTCCCATTCAATGATAGTACAAATAAACAAAGCAGCACAAAGAAAATCAAAATACTAATTCTCAAACTCATTCATAGCTCTTTTGACTTGTCCAGCACACAAAAACATGCAACAGGCCGACTCTCAGACAGCATGAAAATCTCCAGCCACTATTATATATTAAAAAATAATAATAATAATAATACACATCCAGACCTAAGACGGTCACATATTGCTCTAAGGATAAAAACATACCATTCAATCACGATTTCATGCTACATCTATTTGTAGCATTCTGGGATACAGTAATCTGTTATTTGTGACAACATTTCTCTAGCAGTATATTGTGTTCAACAGCTGCTCAGCTAGAGATCTAACAAGCAATTCCATATACAAAACCTTTGTCATGATGTGTAGTCGCCAAATCATTCACTTAAGCATATAGGTGAATCTCAATCATTCCAGGGCAGCCAATCCTAAATGAATGCAACTTCTAGAAGCCTCTTTGAATCTTCAAGATACATTCAATTTGGTCACAGAAAGAAGACATATGGGTCCTGATTGTAGAAATATGACTCATTCACAGTCTGGAATCCCACACACTTCTGAAAATCATACTCACACCTTTGTTTGATTTTTACAAAGTCAGCCCTCACAAGCAACATGCTGATACAAGCAGCTTCCAATAACGCAGACTGATTGGAACCATTATGGAATGAATATTTTGCTACAAGTTTATACGTTAACAGCTTAAGAATTAATGCTGTATGAAAGCCAAAGCATTCACGATCAAACAACATCGAGAGTCAAGCCCATAAAGCCGATCAAAAGTGGCGCCTCTTTGGTAATATAAAAATTTTGCATTGAACATTTCATCCCCATATTAAAATGGAAGACTCAATCAAATTCAAATCCCTGAATAGTGTTGAAATTCTCCTCAAGATGCAAATAAATGTGCCTTTGTTCCCCAAACATCAGCAACATGCCCCTTTATTAAGAAAAACAACAGCATTAGCAACTTCTGAATCAGTCAGTGGCTAAAACAACCCATTAAATAAAAAACAAACGCTAGTCCGTTTGCTAGAGTTTGCTTGGTCTTTGACATCGGCTGGTAAAGTTTCCTGGTATGTTGATGAACAATTTGGTTTGATTGGCAAATGCATTCATGATGTTTCTGCTGGTGTATAAGAAGGATCCGAATGTAAGGCAACATCTGCAGCTCTGGGGGTTTGTGTGAATCACATTCAGATCAGACTGACTTACGAAGCCCCATGTTTTCCATTGTCGCTGAGATCTTGGATGGTGAGCGCAACAAAATAAAAAAAAGTGTTAAAAGGAAAAGAAGCCCTTAGATAAAACTTTGACCGTGTCTTTCTATGGATTGAGTGTGGGTGAAGTCCACATCCATAAATGGGTGAGTCAAAACAGGAAACGGATGATGTAGGATCCTTCAGATGCGAGGAGGAGCAATGGAGAATATCTCCTTTTGGAAAAACAACCATTGAAAGAGTGCAGCAAGTTATCAAGTCCTATTGAAGCCTATCTCTTCCCAGTTTTCATGTACGATGGGATGCCTCCCCGTGCGGTCAGCCCCTCAAAGCGCTTGTAGGTGTAGTTGATGAACACCCAGTCTTTACTCTTCAGATCTGCCTCAGTGTGGTTGGACACAGGAGTGACTTGAGAGAAAGAGAGTGAGAATAAGATGTTTTGAAATACATAAAAGCCATAAAAAATGTCATGTATTTTAGAAAGCGTTGCAACTAACTAAAAACAAACCTGAAGGCTGGAGGATGTCTGAATCAGGAAACTCGTCAAAGTTGGAGGTGTCGTCAATACTTTTGATCTCAATCGGAATAGCCGCTGGTCTCTCCCTAGCGGAAAAAAATTGAGGAGCAGATCAGCATATTGGAATGATTTCTGAAAGATCATGTGACACTGAAGACTAAAATAAATGCAGTCTTGGTGAGAAGAGATTTTTCGGGGGAAAAATAAATAAATCTTACCGACCCCAAACTTTTGAATGATAGCACAAATGTGTTTGGTGTGCAAATGTCAAGCATAGAGTAGCCATATAACCTAGATTTGCCTAAATAAGCAGTATCCACATTTAAAGAACACACTGCATGGAAAAATGTATCCCACAGCGGAATGTGCTCTACTTGAGCTTCCAATAGGTTGTTTGCACATGACGTCACTGATGACGCGCGAAATGCAGCTGGAGGGCAGGAAGTGATTTTTCTCTCCATAGGAATCACTAGCAGAAACTCAAAATGCCAGTGTTTTGCGTTGTTTATGGATGCTTAAATTGGCCAAACCGAGAAACCACAAGGAGCTTTTATCGTGTATGAAAATGTGTTGTTCATGAGTGGGGAAAAAGTCAAGAAATTGATTGAAAAACGCAGGAAAAAGTGGCTTGTAAACCTGTGTCTGCGGTCGGGAGGAGCGAAGCTGGTGCGATAATGCTCGTGCATGTAAATGGTTATTATAGGATATAATAATATATTAAGATATTTATAAAGATATGGGCTGCCACCTCTCACACACACTTTGTGACAGTCAGAATTCACTCAGTGCTAAACGCCACACATAGACAAGATAAATAAGATATTATTTGCAGTTCAGAGAGCT